ATGAATTCTTGTGGTTTATGTTCACTTTACCTAAGTGCGAAGGTGAAAAGCCAACCTCCAGAGCTATAACCGAGTTCACGATTTACGGGAAGCTTGCTTATCTAAGAGGACAGGCAAACCTCAATTTCATAACGATGATGATGAGTTTCAGTTCTCACAACCATTAACCGTGCCGTTTCGTACGGCGGTTTCGATCATGATTAGGTCTAAGAAAAATCCCAAAATTTACGGTTTCAAGTTCTATTGGGTAATCTGCAAAGGACATCAGCCCAAAGGAAGTAATATCGTTTTGCCTTATGGGTTACGATATTCTATCGAAGGTTCCATTTGAAGTCCCTAAGGTTTGGAAGATTGAGTAGTACAACAACCTTTAAATTGATGGAACGGGAATAAAAGTTCCCCATTGTGTTTGTGACTGTTTTCTCTCAATTAATAGTGTCAGCATGTTGCTTGTATTCGGTCGGTGACCTGATGGTCATATAAATGGTTTCAAAAACCATAGAAACGTGAACTAAAAACTGGAAATTAATCATAGTATTAGCAGCGTATCACCGTGTGGTGAAACAATCCCATTTACAGTTTCAAAAGCTGCAAATTCCATTCCATGCGTCGATAGCAGACCGATTCAAATGTACTCGAATTACAAAAAGAAAACAATACAAGATCAAGAACAACAAAATCAACATTTCACTGTAAATCCTTAGTCAGCAGATCAACCGTGAGACCTCGGAAAATACCGGTACTATTACTATTAGTATTTGTTAACGAAGTTCTAATCCACAGTGGTGCCGATTACCATTTGATAATTAGTAACAGGTTCCTGCGGATATGCATCTATACAAAGGAAAAAATGGTTTGAAATACCTCAGATCATGGAATCTACAGAGGAGAAAATGGAGTAAAGAGCAGTGTCAACGAGGGAGATAGGCTGCATAGGATAAGAATGTATCTCACAGACGGGTGAACATGATCGATGTGACCCTACAACGATTTCGAAAAACAGTCAAAATAAGACTTACTGAGACACCGGAGAGAACTGATGATCTTGTACCAAACTAGACGCTTGGACTGAAGATATGCGTCGGCCAGTATTATCGGAGAAAAGTTGCGAATGAACCGGACAAAGTTTATTTAGTTTCGGTGTACTCAAAGCCGTAGATCGGGGACCATATTCGGCACAATGATGCCAGATCGGACTGTGACTCGAGTGAGAGCCTTGTTTTGCATGAGATGCGGAATAGTCTACGCCCAAGGAGTTTGATCGATCCGGTTCGTCGGAACTACTGAACAACTGAAAAAACGATCGTGCATCAAATGTGAAAACGTGCAAAAATAGGATGGATCAAAATAAATCTTTACATGAAAAGGTACGTGAAAGTAAATGGGGAAACAAGCATATAAACAGTAAACACTTTCATCCAGAAATGCAAAGGAGGTAACATAACATAAAATGGTTGTCATTAGGAGAATATCGAAAGAATGTGATAGACAGTTGTGTGAAATCCTCATATCTCCTTGGGCCACTTTCGTTCACAAAATTCTTAGTGAGTTCAACTATCTCCTCAACTGTGATCTGTCCACATATCGTTCTCATTTAGATCTATATCCGATTTTCCTTACAGTCCCGCTCGCATTAACCGTTTAGCATAATTCAACGATTTCCAAATTCCTTTTTGTTTGACAAGTAACAAGGTTATACGTAACCCTCATATGAACCGACCGAGTAATTACAATTTGTTCATCATGATGTCATATTTTCTGCCTTTCTCATCCCAATACAACGACCATTTTTTAATCCAAATCAGGCACGAATATGCGAACAAGTCCAAAAAAAGAATCATACAATAAGCCCATCGTTGTAATCGAAACACCGATCGTAGGCGAACATATTTTCGGTAGGTTCATTCTCAGGCCATTACAATCACACTTATATAAGACAATAACGGGAGGGTGATGTGTTGGGGTGAAACAGTCGATAGCAAAGGCGTGGGGGAGGAATAAGCGTAGCTCGAGTTCTGTTGCTCGAATAAGAACGAGTTACGTAAATATTAGTTGCTTTGGTTTGGCACTATGCTCATGCCCGATGTTGTCTGTTTTGGGCCGTGGAATTTTGAGTGCCTGAACAAGTATTCTGAGTGCACATAATATTGACTTTACCAAGCGGATGATAAATGCCTCGGCTGCTCCTAGCGTTTTAATTTCAACAGCTCTGGATTGTTATGGTAGGGATAGGTAAATGATGGTGAAAGCCTAGTTAGTGTCCACCAGCCTCCAAATGCCTTAGTATGGTCGGGAGTGGGTATCTCGGGCTCAAAAATGGTCACTCGTCCCGAACTCCTCTAGAAATGCTCTCAAACAGCCAAACGCCTCGAATAACTTCTCCTGAGGAAGTCCTTCCCACTGCCCTCTCGTGGCGGAGGTGTTAACACTAAAGTGGGAGGGCAAAGGTGAATGCCCGGTGCTTTCCACCGGGTTGACTGACCACTGTTAGTTAGTCTAGGGGAGTTGGTTAAACCCTGATTCCAAACCACCCACGCCTGGCGTAAGACGCTCATATTGGTACCAATCTTCGGAGCAACCGAAACGGTCACCAAAGTTAATCTTTGGAGTTGACCACCGTGATGCTTACGGGCAAGTGCGCGGCTCAAGGGCAATCAGGGTACCCTGAATAGCTGGCCGCATCCGAAAGGCGTATGAACTGGTACCCCAGTCACCGGCTCCCAGAGGATCGTGGACTCCCTGCTCCACCCCACTGCCTTGTGGGTTAGGTTCTTTAACCAAAGGCTTCGGGTAGGGTCCCCCAAGAAAACCCTCTACCTCGGCCTGGGCAACCGGGTAGTACCACGCCCACAAACTAACCATGGACTTATGAACATACAAGTACACGCATGTCACAGAATATTACACTTCTGCAAAGCTTTCTTTTAAAATCTGCACGCAACATTTACACCCGCCCCCCACACAATACCCCCATTTTTTCCACTGTTTGTCCCATCCCGAACGATTCCACTGACGTAGATTCATGTTGTAGCTCGCCGCTATCCTCCTTAACATCTGTCTCGAAACCTACCGTTCCATTCCCCCGACCTCACTCTGCGTTCAAATTGGCTTCACTCAACGTTAGAACTCTGATGCGTATAAGACAACAAGCAAGTTTGGCTCGTATGCTCGTAAGTGTGTGTGGCCTCTCAGAAAGGCACATCCAGGATCCGATTAACATCTCCTTCCAACCCAAAAAAAGCGTTTCAACTGCGCGTCTCCGGGGGCCCTATCACTTCAGCGTCTGGTGAAGCAGGTGTTGCTATTGCCTTAGGCGCCAGGGCCGAAGCTGGTCTATTGGATTGAATCTCGAAGCACCTAAGACGGATATCGTGATCCTGGCCGGAGACCTAAATGCACGCGTTGGCCGTCTGTCACCCGATGAGACTCAACTTGGTGGTCGTCATGACCTTGATAGCTGTCATTCAGATAATGGGGATAGACTTCTTAGCATATGCTCAGGACACGGTCTGTTCCTCGTTGGCACGAACTTCAGACATTTTAAGCGTCACCTCGCCACCTGGCGTACGCGTCTTCGGCACAGACGTGGAGTCAGATTGACCGTATAGCTATTAGATATAGATGGAGAGGATGTGTGAAAGACTGCCGTTCGTATTGGTCTACCTGCTTGGACTACGACCACGCATTGATTTGTGCCAAGTTGTCTATGCGTTTTGGTAGCCGCAAAAAGATGCGACGCAAACAGCTCGACGTCGTCAAGCTCTCTGACCCGGCCGTGCCAGCCGATTAGTAAAATCAATTGACCACAAGGCTAACTACTATCTCACCAAGTAGAGTAAATCATCACTGGAAAACCAATCAAAACGCAATGCAATCAACCGGTTTACATAGTTGTAGCCTGACCCGCCGAGTT